ACACACACACACACACACACACACACACACACACACACACACTGCTGTGAGATACAAGATCCGAATTACTGCTCATGATAGCAGAGGTAGGCTGTCTGTAGCATTTCTGGATGTGGGTTGTGGTCAAGGAGCACCCCTTCGGGAAAGTACTGCTGCAGTAAGATCAGTAAGGAATGGTTGCAAGTTACAGAGAAGGGAAATGAAGGCCCTGTGTGTGGGATAATGAACCAGATGGAGAGACAGTGGAGACTGACTGGACTGTGCATGGCTTTGTAGGTTTTCTCAGACTTCTGAATTTGTCCCAAGGTCATAGACTTTAAAGGTATTCCTAGACAGGGATAGCATGACCAACTCTGCATTTTAAGAATGCCACCCTGTCTGAATGTGGAGATGCTGAGTAGGTGCTGAGAGCTAAGTGGAGAGATCACTGTGATGTCCCAGCTGCAGATGGCGAAGTGAGTAGCAGTGATTGAAGACAGATTCCAAGGAGAGAACTTAAAGCTGGTGTGGTAGCCATGACTAATCCTAGCACTTGGGAAGTGGAAGCCAGAGGATCAAAAGTTATAAGCAAGATCAAGGCCAGGGTGGCTGCATGAGACCTGAAGAGGAACAAACTTGTTTCATGTGTGGTGCTGGTACCTTGGGACTCACACAGGCCAGGCAAACACTATGTGTCTGAGCATTGGACTCACACAGGCCAGGCAAACACTGTGTCTGAGCCTTGAACCTGATACATGCTGGGCAAGCACTGTGTCTCCAGGCAATCCCTAGGCCCCATTTTTAACTCTTTGACACAGGGTCTCACCAAGTGATCCAGGTTGGTCTTGAATTCACTCTGTAGCTCAGGCTGGTCATGAACTTGTGATCCTTCTGCCTCAGCCTCCCAAGTAGCTGGGATTATGGGTTAGTTGTGTGACCCAAAAGACAATCTGTAATCTGTAAGGTGGAGATATCTTTATTGAGATAAATACCAGCCAAACGCAGTCAGAGCTTGCCAGGGGCAGCTGAGCAGCCAGGCCAGAGAGAAGGGGCAGGAGAGGGAGTTTCCATGTTCTCTCGGTCCCTTAACAGCCCACGCCTGACCTCACCTTGACCACACCTTGACAGGCATGGTCAGGCACACCAGCCTCTAACAGGCGTGGCTTACTGTCCCCTACAATGGGTCTAACCCTCACCAGGTCAGCTCAATAAAGAAAACTCAATAGGCATGTTTTTACATTCTCAGTGACCAGTGAATTTGACTTTAAAGTTAGTGTCCAGTAATTCAGAACTGGTCTCTTTTGGCACCATCTGGCCCTGGGAGCTTTCTGCAAAGCTGCAAACATGTGCTCAGCAGTGACAGTGTCATTCAAGACATGGTGCAGCTAACTCAAAACGACAACTCAAAATAGACAGTTCTTTCCTTAGCAAAAATAATTTCAGCTGTATTCTCAGGAGCAGGCCCTGGTGTCAACACCACAGCACTGAAGGACACACTTGTGTGTCTGACTTATGTGTGACAATCGAGCTTTAAGCAATATAAAAGAAACATGTCAAAACATTTATCTACTTCCATGCAGAATATATTATTAAATTCAGTCTTCTGCTAGGTCCACAGTAGAAGAAATAATTTACTTGCTTAGTGTTTCCACAGTGATTTGTTAACGAATGAAAACCAAAGTAAACCACCTCTCCCTAATACAATACCAATGGTGATGTTTTTCAAGATAATTAGAGCTGGACATGGTGGTGTGTGTCTTAAGTCCCAGCTGCAAAATGTGCTTGGGCAACATAGTGAGAATTTGT